TAGATATAGTTTTATCTGTAGCTGTCCTTACAACGTATATACCCTACACACGAGTATAGATATAGTTTTATCTGTAGCTGTCCTTACAACGTATATACCCTACACACGAGTATAGATATAGTTTTATCTCGTACTTGTCGCTGTCGTTGCTGTCGAGAGTGGACAATGTTCTGCTGCGTGGTTCGCAGACGACAGTCAGGCTGCGACTGGCGGAATCTCACGCGCGGTATTGCTCTTACGTGCGCGCGCCCGTATTTTTCCCTGCGCGCGCGAGGCGGCGGCTGCCGCATCCCAGGTGCTCGTGTTTGACATGTGAAGGACTTCCGACCACGATTCCCACGGACGTGGTCGCACCCCGCGTTCCTCCCCCTCCTCCCCCAGCCACTGCCGCCTCGCGACAAAACGGACCTAATAATTGCGTCCGTAGGGGGTGACTGATGTTTACATCTGTGGTGGTGTGACGCTCACTCTTCGCCGTGACTACTGTTCAGTAAACAGCGCTAGCGATATTCATTCGGAGTGTTGTTCTGCGTGTTACGAAGCCTGTCTATACCATCCCTGTCTGCGTCGGAGTTTGAACCGTGCCGTAAATTTGCCCCGTTTCACCGCCGGTGCGCTCGCCTCCACCCCTGACACCACCGCCGCCCATAGCCCACAGTTCAATGAATAGTTTCGGTCTATTTAATGCCGCGCATCGGGTCGACGTGAGAGCCACGCGATCGGCCAGGTAAAAATAGCGTCGACTCGCGTGCGTGCCAGCTCAGGGGCACGCATTCCCACGCACGGTGCGCATTCCGGCATTGTGCGTGGTGGCTGCGCCTCCAGATGGCGCGACATGTCCGCAGCAAGCCGTCCATTGTTCGCGAGCGCAGCGGCGTGGCTAATGCAATAACTGACAAAATAATACACGGCGGTGCAGTCATGTACGTGGCGTGAACGCCTGCAGGTACACACACGCGCGCGCACACACAAACTCTCTCTCTCTATCACACACACACACACACACACACGCGCGCGCGCGCATGCACGCACGCACGCACGCACGCACGCACACACACACGCAC